TACCCTTCTAATCTTATATAATCTAAGTAAACAAGACAAGAAACATGAGAAGAAGTAAAAAAGGGAGAAACCAAGGTGATATTTTAAAGCATTTTTCACTTTCTCATACTGTTTGATTTCAGCATTACTTAGGCAGAGAATCAAAGAACGTGTAATTCAAAATTCTCATTAAAACTGAGGATTTCATTCTTTTTCCTTTTATCTGATTTTAAGAGATGAAAAGGAAAGCCTCTCCCACATCTTTAAAATAAACATTTAGATAACATAAAACCTTAAGTTTAGACTCAAATTTCATAATATTGAACATATTTCTTCAGATTAAAAATAACCCCAGAACTGATTTCTAGAGGCAACTTTACAGTATTACATATAAAAACAATGAAATAAAAACATTCTTTCTTTAATGGTAAATGTGATCAGAAAAGCAGACCTAATTATAATTCTAAATCCAAATTTCTTAATATTAAACACATAACCACAATTAGCAAAACAGCTAAACAGAATACACAGACAGAAACACACACACACACACACACACACACAAAATGAAGACTAGAAAACAGATTGGGATGAACTAAAGTAATTTACTGTAGGCTAATAATGGCATTTTATATCAATAAGAAAAACATTCATTAAAATATAATGGGACCAGGGCTGGAGCTATATAGCTCAGAGGCAGAGCACTTGCCTCACACCTGTGAGGGACCAGGTTAGATCCTCAGCACCACATATAAATGAGTAAAAAAAAAGGTCCATTGACAACTAAAAAAAATATTTTTTAAAAAAATATATAATATGGACCACCAACTATCTTGTAAAAAAATTAAAAATTCTTCTGTATCTTATGCAAAATTAATTCCATGTAGTTAAGAATCTAAAAGTATATTAACTACTGAAAGAAAACACAGAACTCAAAATACAGTATTGTTTAATTTCCAAAAAATATAAGATGCAGTGGCTTGGGAGGCTGAGGTAAGAGGATCACGAGTTCAAAGCCAGCCTCAGCAACTTAGTGAGGCCCTTAGCAACTCAGCAAGACCCTGTCTCTAAAAAATAAAATATATAAAAAAAGGTAGGGTGGGGCTGGGGATGTGGCTCAGTGGTAAAGTGCTCCTAGGTTTAATCCCTGGTATTAAGAAAAAAAAATATATCATATATATACATACATATGGAAGATATATGAATGGCTTTCTGTGTGATACATATTTGTTTGTTTGGAAAAAGGTCTGGAAAACTTAAATATCTTAAACATCTCAGTAAGAATGATCACCTTTGGGAAGTGAAATGAAGATGTAAAGAGGACAGATCTATTTCTTGTAATATATGCATTTTTAACAACTAGATGTAATTCTTCTATAATTTAAAAATAATTTTAATAGACAATAAATCCAATTACTGGATGGATAAAGAAACAAGATGGAAACTGGTTCCAAATATCTGTGGGAGGATGACTTTAAAAATAGCACAAAGGGCTTAGACTTCAAATTTAAGTAAATATTAGAGCTTTCTTGTGTTGAAGTGCCTTGCTCAGCATGAGCTGTCACACCATGACTGTGTTAAAGCAGAAATCCTGAAAAGCTATTTTTTTAATATCTGTATTTTGTTTATTTATTTTTATGTGGTGCTGAGGATCAAACTCAGTGCCTCACATGTGCAAGGTAGGTACTCTAAGCCCCAGCCCCTGAAAAGCTACTTTTTAATACCAATGGAGAAAAGAATCTCATCAGGATAGTACCCTACTCAGCCAGATCACTTGGTTTTACTCAAATTTCATTAACTTGAAAAAACAGTCACTGAATGCCAGGACTTCTGCTAAGCACTGGGGATAAAAAAAAAAAAATGGGTAGTATTATGATCTAACCTGTAGATGGTCAGTCTAGTTGGGCTTTATTCTCATCAGTTCAGTAACTACAAATATACCACTGCATTTAGGTACAGTAACACATATTTAGTTATCAGGGTCTGACAGGCAACAGATAGTGCCCTATAAAGTTCAAAAGAAAAGAACTTTAAGGAGGACTAAATAGGGTGACAAAGATGCAGGGAGAAGGGAACACTGGAGGGCACTTCCAGCACCAGAGATCAGAGGGAGATAGAAGCTATTAAGGAAGGACTGCTCAGAAGGAGCTGTTGTCATGGAGAAAGCAACTGGACCCAAAGAAGGGAGGAAAACACTCCCAGTAGGCCCTTCTAGTCTCCACACTGTAGGTGCCTCCTGCCAGGTGAAGCTGCCCAGAACCCAGCTGGCCCCCTGCTCTAGAGCTCCAGCACACAGTGGCTGGCCACCTGGCATAAAGAACAAGTAGAAAAAGGCAGAAACAGCTCTGCAAAGCAAAGAGAAGGACTTAGTATTCAAAACCATGGTTTGGCAAAGCAATCATGGCTTTTCTAAGTTAGTATTGGGTATTAGCATACAGAAGAAGGAATGGTTGAAATATATTCCAAGGCTGTGATGTACTGTAAATTGTGTAAAGGTAGGGACTGCATCTCAGGATTGTCTTGCATCACCATAGAGCTGCCATAGGCAAAGAGAGCTATTTTGAAAAGAAAGGTAACTGGCTTTCTTGCTCATAGTAGATGTCATCTCTCACTTTTGAACTCTCTGGACACTTTATTATGTATATTTTGGGTGTAAAACATATGTCTTATATATATATATATATGTGTGTGTGTGTGTGTGTATATATATATACATGTACATGTATATATACACATACATACACACACACACACACACACACACATATATATATATATATATATATATACACATGCTACTGAATAATTACCTAAAGCTATTAACATATTCACTATTACAAATATTCACCAATTTTTTATGTGACACAAAAACATTTAAAACCCACTCTTTCAGCAATTTTCAAGAACACAGAACATTAACTATAGTCATGTTGCACTTTGGATCTGTAAAACTTATTCCTCCATTTCACTGAAACTTTGTAAGTTTTGACAGATATCTCCTTATACCTTCCTCTATTGCCTCCTTCTACCATCATTCTATTCTGCTACTATGTGTTTGGCTTTTTCTTTTAGTTCTCACATGTAAGTGAGATCATGTGGTATTTGTCTTTCTGTGCCTATCTTATTTAACTTAGAATAATGCTTTTCATCCACATTGTTGCCAATGGATTTCCTTCTTAAGAATGGATAATATGGGCTGGAGCTGGAGCTCAGTGGCAGAGTGCTTGCCTTGTACATATGAGGCACTAAGTTTGATCCTTAGCACCACATAAAAATAAATAAAATAAAGACATGCTGTCCATCTACAACTTAAAAAAAAAAAGATAGTATTCCATTGTGTATAGCATGTTTTCTTTATCTCTTCATTTACTGATGGACACTTATGTTGATTCATGAAAAACTTTATTTGTATCTCTGATCTCTGATATGGGTCTTAACACATTACCTTTCATCCTTATATTCCAGCTACTCTAAAGTATATGTCTTTAGATGTTTCTGAACACTTGAAGTTTCTTATGAACAAAGGCCATTCCTTATATATTTGGGTCACATTCAGCTAATTGAGCACAGGGACAGATGTGTCAACAATCATCACACATTACCATTAATGCTAGGCTCAAAAATAAGCAGGGAAGGAAGTGGGAGCTTAAAGGAGGACCCCTCTTCAGGGTCAAAGAAAACATTTTCAAGTTATTGGAATTTAAGCTAAGTTCTTCAGTTGTCAGAGCTGGCCAACCAAAAGAGGGAAGTATCAAGGGATAAAGCTGAAAAAGCAAGCAGGAGACAACCAGGAAAAGGTAATGGGAAAATCAGAATGTTACAATAAGAAGCTAGATTAAAAATAACTAAATTGAAGTTTTCAGTGAGGTGCCCTGGCCATTTCACTATCTAGATCCAACTAGTCAACAAGCTAAGGTAGTTAGAGAATAAGCCAAAAGAGAAATTATCCAAATTAGGACATGAGCTCCAGGAGAAAGGTCAGGGAGTAACAGGGAAAACAGGCAGTGGTGTGCCATGGATCTGATAGTTACTCACTGGAAAAACTGTCCTGAAAGGTTATTGGAAGGTGTGGGAAAATTTAACCCTAAGAAACAAAGAAAATTAATCAAATAAAAAACAAGGCAATTATTAACTCCAGGAAAAAGAAGTTATACAGGAAGGAAACAACAAATATACATTTGATTACAATGACTAATGATAGATCTAAAAATTGTAATGTAACACACCAAGACTAATGACATATTTAAAAATTATAATGTAACACACCAAGGTAATTTTAGAGAATATGGAAAAAATACCTGTGTATATATAAAAGATTGACTGTTGTCTAAAATTGATGAAAAAAGAGATAGTATTATAAGCAACTGCTTTTAAAATGTGGAAGTTAAGTACAGTGATAAAAGTAGATACCTTCAGTAAATGGGATGCAAGGTCAGTAAAGAGAAACAGAGCCTTTCACACTATTTGACTTTTGCTCATATGTTTATACTACTTTGATAAAGATTTAAATGTTGAGTAAGGTAAAAAAAAACAAAAATAAAACAACAACAACAACAAAACCCCAAAAGTATACTAAAGTATTTGTAGGGTACTCAAACTTACCTAAAAGCACTAACTTCTGCAGAGTCTCAGAATGATCTACATAGTCTCGAAGTGTGAATGAATCTGGAGGCAGTGGAGGGTGTGCAACAATCTGAACAGCCTCTTCTTCGGAAAGTGGATGCAATGGAGACAAGGGAGGCAAATCGTCCAGTTCTTTGAAGCCAGGCACGTAGAAAGAGAAGCAAGTTAGTGCTTCAGACTATTTCTCCAAAGCCCACTTCTTCCTTGGTTTGTGTCTTTTGCTAGTTAAATCTTGAGATCATTTCAGAATTAATTGTTCAAGAAATCAAAAAATTCTAAGTACCAAGAGGTAAGGTTATGACTATTTAGAAAGATCAACTACTGTTTTTCTCTAAGATAAGAAATTTGTTAGTAAGTTTCAAGGCACAAAACTTTTCTCTTCCACTTTTCAATGACAGGTAAAAGTGTTAAGAGGATCAACTGCCCTTCAAGTACATTTTGAAGAAGAGAATCAGTCTACCATAGCTTGTTAACTTGGCCAAAAGTACAACATATTCAACAGCCTGAATCTCACAGGTTAGTCATGACATTCTGAAAATTCTGCTTTGATGCAGTGCCCTCTTCTCCCAGTTATTCTCCAGTGCCTAAGTTGATGTCTGTCTCTACCACCTGCAGTCTTTCTGGTCTAGCATTGATTCTACGGTGTGTGGTTTTGTGTGTGTGTGTGTGTGTGTGTGTGTGTGTGTGTGTATCTATCTATCTATCTAAATATATATATTTTTAATAAAACAACATGTTAGACACTTGGGACTGTAATTTACCTTAAGCTAAGGAATCCAGACTGTGATCTCTTGTTCTGTTTCTCACTTTTTTAGCCACCCTCTCTCCTCCCTGTGTCCAGCTCTCTTATCATTTTGTACATGATTGAATATAATTCCATATATGGTAAAATCTGAATTCCTAGAACAGGAGGCACTAGAAAGGAAAGACTGACTAAAAACTATACAAGGGAACTTTAGCAGTGATATAACTGTTCTATTTGATGACTGGTAGTTGTTATACAACTACATGTATACATCAAAATTCAAAGAATCATATACCCCAAAAGATGGATTTTATTTGATACCAATTATACCCTAATAAATCTAATCTTGTTTTGTTTTGTTTTTTTAGTACTGGGATTGAACCCAGTGCTTGATGCATGCTGGGCAAGTGATCTCCACTGAATTATATTCTCTAGCTCTTATTTTAAATTTTGAGAGAGGATCTCTCAGAATTGCCCAGCTGGCCTCAAACTTGTGATCCTCTTGACTTAGCCTCCTGAAAAGGTGTGATTACAGGCATGTGTCATCATACCTGGTCCAAAAGAAAAAAAATTTAAATACTATAAGTAAGAAGCATTTAGAAAGCAAATGTAATATTAAAAATACATATATTTATATAATTATATATAATCTATTTTATTTATATAAGATAATCTTATGCACACTAGTAAAATCAAAGTAAAAGAGCAGTAAATAAATAGAGCTGGCATTATTCCTTTTCCTGCCTGGTACAAAGTATGAATAGAAATGGCCTAGCAAAATGTAAACAAGTAGCTCGTTTAAACTACCAAAAGCAGGGAAAGTGGGACTTTTCTAAAAGTTGAGAATTACCTTCTAGAGTCAGGTCGGAGTCAAAGCAGGGCATCTTCTGTGTCTTCTCTGACTGCTCATTCACATAAGGAAGCAGAGTGCTTTGGGCAGAATTATTCTCTTGCCTACTTGAGTTGGTAGACTGGGAATTACTCCATAAGGAGGAAGTTTTGTAAGTCTTAAATCCCCACTGGAGAAAACAATTGTCAGAGGACATCTGAGGCCAAGCAGAAGAGCTTTGTAACCATGTTTTCCCTGGTCTTGGAAAACGTTTTGTGAGTTGTGTGGCATTAATGAAGCGGCTCGACTTAATTGAGTTGAACCATCTGAGTATCTGTTGGGCTGACAAGGCCATTTTTCCTAAAGTAATCTACAAAGGAAAAAGAGAACTATCAAAAGAGAAATTCAGTTTATTTAAATATTTTAAATTGTATTCAAACAACAAAAACAAACTGGAAATTATTATTTTTTTTCTTAAATTAAAGGTGTTTAATTAAATTTGGTTAGACTAAAGTAGTGAAATGTTTCTTATATATAGGGAAAGCCACAAACAAGGCAGTCTTAGTTATAAGCTGAAAAATAGGATTTTCTGAAGTGGAATAATAAAGATAAGATTTACAATTTAACAGTAAAAAGCAAAATCAGTGGTGTAAGAAAATCATTAAAACAAAAATCTGTAAATGTTCAAATTACACATAACCAAATCATCTGTTAATCATTTTTTAAGAAGACAGTGAGGTAGTTAAGTGCTCTTGGAATATGGTTTGAAGGATATTTAAGAAGAACATTGCTGATCAAAATAATATTGAGGGCTAGGGTCATAGGTCAGTGATAGAGCGCTTGCCTAGCATGTGTGAGACACTGGGTTTGAGTCTCAGCACCACATAATAATAAATTAAGGTCCATCAAAAACTAAAAAAATTTAAAAAATAACATTGAGTTATTCAAATGCATTTTATGTACATAGTCACAAAATAAACAGAAAGAAACCACTCTTGTCCTGAACGAATCATCACAACATTATCATTGCTATATTGAACAGTGAAGGCTTTCTTGCTTCGTTCTTAGAGCTGAACTCTGTTGATTATTTCAAAGATGAAGCTGTTCTTAAAAGGGAAATTGAACAAAACTAGTTTTGTCAAATTCTGTTTTTTTGTAGGAAACAAGAAAAAGAACAGCCTTCAAAAGGAAAAGGTCAAAATAGCAAGCAAAACAAAGTAACAGAAACAAATAAGCAAGCAGACAGGCATAAATGTATATTTTGACTGAAAAAGTAGTTTTTAACAGGAAAGATTGTTGCTACTTTAAACTCCAGGAATATGAAATAATTTTACATTTAGCAGCTAATTAGAAAGACATTTTATGTTAAATAAGATAATCCATATAACACACAGCATGGAGTCCTGCATATGAGAAATGATTTATAAATGTTAACCATTATTATTATTGACTAGTCAATCAAAAATAATTAATTTTGTGAACTAATTACGGCATACAACTTTGTGCTTTGTTCATTTATGTTGTGGAATTCAGCTTGTTTTATGCTCTGCATTCGACTAAACACTTGAAGATCTAATTTCTTGGAGATCTGTAGTCTGGGGGAGTTTGTTGGAAGAGATTTATAAGTGAAAGTCTCAGTTTCATTCTGAAGTGATCTTAGGAAGTAAGTATTCCCAATAATTTTTGTTAAATTTTGGCAGGAAACAAGCCTCCAAATCTGTCTCTGCAGCAATCATAAAGGCACCAAATTGGGAGTCAGAAGACCAAGGTAGTTATGCCACCTTGACAAAATTAAGTTTCTTAAAGGGGTGTAAAAAATGTTTAGCCCATGATGGTATACAATTATCATTACTCAAATAATTACTCAAATAATAATTTTTATGGGTGGTAGAGATAGAACTTTACAACTGAGCTACACCCCCAGGGCCAAAATAGTATTTATTTATTTATTTGTAAAGGTTAAGGGTACAATAAAATGATCTTATGGTCCCTATCAGGTTTGACATTTTAGATGTAAAAGTTTGTCCAACCTCGTTGTCCTGCTTCAAAGCAAACCCATTCCCATCCCAAATTCACTCGTCTCTCTATAATCAAATTAAATTAATATCCCTTCCACATCTGGCAAGTTCACTTTTAAACTCCATCCACATCCATCAAAAGACCTTTGTGAATATAACTAGTTTTCAACCTTCCATTTTTACTTGCAAAAGCATTATCTTTACATTACCACTTCTCTGCTATGTATACATCCTAACAATTCCTTTAGGATAGAAGGGTTGGGTCTTATCTCTGGATCCACCCTCCCAGTAACTATCCCCACCAGAGTCTTGCAGTGCTCCACTGTTTCTAGAACAGAAATGAATCAACCACAAGCATTGTCAACTCCAGGGCCTACACAGTATTCAAAAGCGGGTATGGCATTTGCAAATGTGTACATAAGCTCTGTGAGGTTTCACAATTAAGTTTTCTAACACGGCCCTTGATCACGAAGATGGAAGAAAACACCCTAAAAAACTCCACTAATTAACTTAGTTAAAATTAACTCCACTAATACATCGTACACTAGTTCTCAACTCGATGTCTACTTCGTTAGGTTTAGGAATAAGAACTGAAAATTGAGTTCCAGATTTCTAACTCTGTAATTAATAAATGACTTCAGGAGATGAAATGGGGACTAAGGGGTGGCTTCGTAATAAAGGGCCTCTCAAATAATGGTGTCGCCCTCTCTAGGCCTTTTTAAACCAGATTTCAGTTCCTCAAACCGAACTTCCGCAGGAAACCACTTCACACGCTGGGCCTCCTCCGTCCTTCCAGGGCCACTATTTAAAAAAACGTATTTTGCGTTTCCAACTCTTGGGCCAGGGGATACGTACCAAACCGAACCAATCTCCCTCCACGGAGCCACGGAGACTTAAAGGCCCTGAGGCTGGGGAGCGCCGGCTGGACGCGGGAGGCCGGGACCGAGCCCCGCCGGGGACACGCCCACGGGGGTTCCTGCTTCACCTGTGGCGAGGCCTGAGCGTTTTCGGGCCCGCGGTGGCTGTCGGGCTCGCCGGGCGGCCCGCCCCGTGCCGCAGCCCCGCAAGCCCGCCTGCCGGCCCGCAGGGCCCAGCCGCCGCGCTCCCCGACCCACGTGTGCTGCGGTCGGAGTGGGCGAGACCATCTGGAGGCTGCGCGGGGGGAGAGAGCGCTGAGAGCCTGGGAAAGAGCCTGCTGGGGACCACAGCTGCGCTTCTCTCGCTCCCTACTTTCCCTGAGCCTCGCGCAGTGGCAATCTGAAGGCTCAGAGAGTGCCTAGAGATGCTACGGCCCCAAGGCCAGCTGGCGGCCGGCCGGCGGCACCCCCTTTCCCAGGTCGAATCGGCGGCGCCGCGACCCCGCCCTCCCGCGCCTGTCCTTCCCTCTGCTCCCAGCCTTTGCTGGGCGCCAGACCCGGCCCCGCCATCCGGCTGCTTGTCCGTGGCGGCTGGTCAACACTGCCGGGGTCCCAGCCTTCGCGGGCCGGGGCCGCCGGGACAGCGGCAGGACGGGGAGACGGGCCATGGCGTCCTGCGTGGGGAGCCGGACCCTGAGCAAGGATGATGTGAACTATAAAATGCATTTCCGGATGATCAACGAGCAGCAAGTGGAGGACATCACCATCGACTTCTTCTATCGGCCGCACACCATCACTCTGCTTAGCTTCACTATCGTCAGCCTCATGTACTTCGCCTTCACCAGGTGGGACGGGCTCGGCCTCGGCGGGGCGCGCCGGAGGGCGAAGGGTAGAGGCGAGAGGGAGGCGGTCGCCGGGAGGGTGGCCCCGTGTGGCTCGGGGTGAGGAAGCGGGCTGGCTGCTTCACGCACATATACTCGCAGACCCATCGCCTACACAGCTTCTCCACCCGCCCGGTGTCTCCACTGTACGTCCAGCCTACTCCCCACACCCCACCTCTAAATACCACCTCTCCTGTGGCCTCCGGCCACACCAAGAACACACGCCGGTCACCTAGCACGATCGTTCACCCCGCCACACACACACATTCAGCATCACTCCGCACACGTCACGACACTGGCGTCCTCCTCTGCAGCCCCTCCAGCCCCCGTCCGTTTTCAGCACACCGCATGAATCATCTCGAATGCACCACTTTCAGCACACACCACTATACACATAAAACATCCAACTGCCACCTCCTGCACGCACTATACACAGGCCCGGGACACAACCTAGATCCCTTCCCGTGTAATTCCTCCAGTATTCAGCACTATCCAGCACACATACCCAAAAAATGCACCACATGGTCTTTTGGGTGCAGCACCTTACATATGCACTGCACACACATCCTCTAGTGTTCTGTCCCCCCTCCCCGCCCCCTCCCAGCACCATCCATATCACAGCACAAATTGCTGCTCTAGACAGCACAGCTATCATCTTTTATGCACATTGCTGCACACACACCAGCCCCACCATGCAGTGCACACCCTGCCCATTCCTCACCTGACATACATGCCTAAATGACATGTTGTCATGCAGTTATAATAATGTCTGGTGCCTTAATGTAAATGCTGTACGTGTTAAACAAATCACATAAGCCTTACACAACATAACACAACTTCCCCTGAAAACATACACACTCACATGCTCAAAAGCCCTTCTAATATCTGTTCACAGGAGCTGCCCACCCCAACTCTTGAACACCCATACCATGTGATTCTAGACTGCACCTGTGGCCCCTGAGCTCCAACCAGGGAGCTAATTGGTGCCTGGTTCCTAATGGCACACACACCCTGGTTCCTATTTAAAACAATTTCTGTTTTCTGAGTGAAGCTCTTTAAAGAAAGAAAAGTCATGCTTGCAACACCATTAAAGATCTGAGGTTCAACCCAGAGTAGTGTTTTGGAACCAGACTGCTAGTTTCAAAACTGACTGTTTTTTTTTTTTTTTTTTTTAATCTTTTTCTTTTTTTTAAATTTTGTTCTGAGTGCCAGGGTCTACATATATAAAATAGGGATAAAATATGTATTTACCTCATAAATAATAAAATATGTATTTACCTTCATATAGGGTTAAGAAGACTAAAAATAAATATGTGTGAGTACATTGAGTAGAGAAACCTGATTCACCATGCCCAATTAATATCAGTTCTTTCCTGATTTTTTTTTTCCCCAACAATCAATGCTTCTTAATCAGGGTTGGGGGAAAATGTTTAGGGGTATATCAGCTGATCACATGTACTAAGGAAACTTCCAGTATTTAGTGAATGGGAGAGTAAAGGCTACTAGAAGTTTAGTGACATATGAGACAAATTTGTACCGCCGACTAAATTCTCATCCCCCGCCCCCCCCCCCAATTGTCAGGGGTGCCTCTCTTGGGAATAACTGCAACTTTTCAGATTTTCATAAAATATCTAATATCCTTCTACATCACACTTATTTTTTACCTCCATAGTCCATTTGACTCTCATTCCCTATGTGTTTATTTTCATGAATCATCTAAAGGTACAAAGCATAAGTAACACTTATTCTTTAATAACTGAGGGTAAAAAGCATAAGTAACACTTACTCTTTAATAACTGAGGGTACTGCTACTGTTACTGTAAAGACTGATGCTATGTGGACCAGACTTTTCTACAGTATCTAATCAGTTGTATTTCTAGCTTTAGAGAGAAATTATTCTTAACTCTAATTATGGTTATCTTCAAATACTTCATCATTTCACCTGATTTTACCATTTAATAGCTATGTAACCACTTAATTTTGTTAAGCCTCAGTTTCCTTATCTGTGTGTAAAATGAAGATCCTAGTACTCTGATACCTTACAGGATTGTTGTCATGAGAACTAAATTCTCCTTTTTAGGTAATCTGTGTTTAGCTCAGTGGGTAGCAAATGTTAAGTACTTAAGAGACATTATTATTATTATTACATGATTTCATTGAATGCCAGTGTTTTCTAAATTATATTTGTTACTGAATGAGGATATCGATATCGAATGCTCTGTAATTGAGAAAAAGGATTAGAAAAATGGACATTAGATAATATACATGCTTGTTTCACATTACCTTCAATTTAACTTCATTTTATATGTGGGTTTTTAATGATGGAATTTTGAGGGAGTATATTTGGAAAATAGAGAAGTAATTATACTATTTTAAATGATGAGAAGCAATAATGAACCGTTTGTTTCAACTTTTTATCTTTAATATTTTTGTAGACCCCTTCAAAATAAATCTTTAATACTGAAAGTCACATTTCTCTGGAAATTCTCTTTTATGGCCTAGTCTGCCAAGGCAGTTGACAAATTGTAGCAGTGAAAGTATGAAAAATTAATATGGATTTGAACCATTTGTCAGAAATAATTTTTAAAAACCCATAGTCTGAACTTCAGATTGTGGCCTTTTCTAAAAGTGATAACAATTTAATTTCTTATTTTAATTTCATAAAGAAACAAATCACATAATGAAGAATAATTAATATGAAGTTTCACCTTATAAAATCATAAGCGCCA